TATATAATAAACAGAATATTAAATGGGCTCTTGGAGATACGAATTTCATCTTCGAGTGTTCGCTTAGCCTGCGTAGCGGCTCTTGGGGGACTGGATCCCTTTTGTCCTCTCCCCAGTCCCCCAAGAGCCGCTACGCAGGCTAGTGTTCGCTACGCTCACTCGTTCGATATCAATTGAACACTCGAAGATAAAATTCGTATCTCCAAGAGCCCATGTAATATTCTCTATGTAATACTTTAATCATAAATAACCATTTTATTCAGCACTATAAATTTATTTTGAATCGGCCATTACCACAGGTATCCCACAAGTTCTAGCCTCCGTTAGGGCCCTTGACGATCTCATGCTCAGTTGTTCAAAGTGTACCATTTTATTCGCCATGTGAGTGAAATATGAAAAGCGCCATCGATATACAATAATTTCACGACTTACACACAGGTTTAGCCGATCGCAAACAAAATATAATCAAATCGAGGCGTCAAGGTAGAATGTGCGTAGATCGCGTCTTTCATGCCCTGTGTACCCTCGGTTCAATGCTTTGTGATGGCATTATGTAATCGGTCATTTGCATGATATAGCGTAACTTTACTACAACTACCAGAGATCCTTGCGTATTTTCATTATATTTCAGACAAAGTTCCCAGGGTCAGGGAAAAGTCATTGAAATTTGAATTTTTTTCAAGGTCAGGGAATTGCCAGGGAATTTTGATTTTGGCCTGGGAAATATGCAATTTATGAAAAAGTCAGGGAATTTTTGCCGAAATTTTCCTGGTATTTGCAAAAAAAGTGATTTCGCTTCTAAATGGTTTGTGCTTCAGCAAGCTATATTTTGACCATGCTATGAGGAAAGCATTGTCGGACGGGAAGGAAGACGAATTAGGTTTCACTATAACTCCCAGAAGATCTCGAAGGTACCCAAAAGTCGTTCTTGCCGACCTCGATTTCGCAGATGACATTGCTCTTCTGTCTGATGCCATCATACAAGCCCAAGAGCTCCTCCTCAGAGTTGAGACAGAATATAGCAAAGTAGGGCTTGGTTTGAATGATCCCAAAACAAAGTACCTGGCCTACAATATAGACGTACACACTCCTCTAGTAACCAGATCAGGAACTGTGTTGGAGCAAAAAGACGATCTCAAATATCTTGGCTCCTGGGTTGATAAGTCGATAAAAGACGTCAATATCAGAAAAGCACTAGCCTGGAAAGCCCTCAACGACATGAGCAACATCTGGAAGTCCACTATGAACCCAGTCTTAAAAAAACGATTCTTTGTTGCCACAGTCGAGTCAATCTTGCTGTATGGATGTGAAAGCTGGACCATGACGGAGACTATGGTGAAATCACTCAGTGGTGCCTATACCCGTATCCTGAGGAAAGCCCTGAATGTGCACTGGAGCTCCTGTGAGGTCACGAACATTGTCAACACGGAGTACGTGACAAATATATTGTAAATAGTTATGTTGTAACATGATATGTAGTGGTGGTGGATTGACTTACTGTGCACAATATTGAAACACGATTGTTTAAGAAAGAATACACTATTCTCGCATTACTAATGATGAAGTGTACGGAGAGTTACCAAGGCTGGATGTGAAGATTGCTGAGCGCAGACTACGTCTGGAAGGACACTGCTACCGCCACCCTGAACTAAGCACCCAAAAATTGATCCTGTGGGAACCAACTCACGGAAGACCTCAATTGAATTATGTAGACACCCTCGAGCGCGACACTGGGGCAATCAGCTCACACGAGCTGGCTACTTTGATTGAAGACAGGGTCGTTTGGAGTGCCATTGTTAAATCTCGGAGTCATCCGCCTAACTAACTAACTAACTAACTAAGCTATATTTATAGGACTAAAGATAATCTTGTCGCCTGGTCACTGAAAAAGGGTTTTTGGTCGGGGAAAAGTCGGGGAAAAGTCAGGGAATTTTACTTTTAAAGATGAGTGGGAACCCTGTCAGATTTTTAATCCCCTTAGCGATTAGTTAAACCATTGGTACCAATTGCATTACAAAAGAAAGTGGGCAAAGCATTCTGGTAGCTGTAGTAAATGACGCCATAATGAAAATCGCCTATTCTTAATTAAGAATCAAGGAAATTTTGAGAATTATCTGTCAGACACGCTAATGACGTAAACTGAATAAACTTCCATAAAGCAGAAATTCAAAATGGTGCTAAATTTGAACACATTTTGGCTGTTTCCTCGCACACTTTAATAATCCAGAAAAAATAAACACCACTAAAAATGTATCTATATGTAAGTACTTTTATTGAGAGGTTTTGTTTTGTCCTTTAAGTTTTTTAATGAATTTGTTTTATTTCAGCTTCAAGTGGAAAACAGACGATTGCAGCAAGAGTTAAGATTACTGAAAGTAAAATCTGCTAATAATAAGGTAGACAGAAATCTAGTCTCTTTTGCTGCCGATATTGCTTTTTTCTCCTTTTTTTGTGTGTGTCTTTTTTATTTATTTGGTTTTACTTTATTTTGTTGTCAATACTCTGCGATATCTAGTTTAATCAGTATAAATATCACCATTATCACAACTCATCACTGAACTGTTTCTTTAGGCACCATTGACAGCATCACAAGGCTCTGCTGGAAATGTTTCAAAAGGTATTTGTTACACGTGTTTTCCAGTTTGCCAGATTTTCAAACCCACTCTTTATGTGCGGCTGCACGAGCGATTTTTCTGGCTACACGAGCGACAATGCTGTATCGATAAAATATCCTCACAAATACTTATTTGAATCTCCATTAAGAGGTATATGACAAAAACAGCTCAAATTCGATGTTCAGCTTTCATCGTACCCGAAAATTGCGTCGCGCGCGTCAGCGAAAAATCGTTCGTGTAGGCGCGGCCAGAGAACTGCACACCTGGACCATCAGTAGACGCGACCCTTACTTCGCTGCTTTCTTGTTGGGACTATGGACTTTCCTTCCATTGTTGCAGAGACTTTTGTATTAAACAAGTATTTATGCGACTGGCGGCATACAAATCAGTCAGGTTTCGACCATCGCGCGAATCGTTACATTTGCTGATCTCAATTTCCTACCTTATGCTTGTAAGGATCATAATGTCCGATTATCTGACGAAATGTTGTTTTTTTAAGATCGTAACGGCAAGACCCTTTTAGACGACGATCGTTTCTTGGAGAGTATTGAAGCGTCATTTAAACAGTTTTATCAGTTCCTTGATTTACTGAAAGGCAAAGGGTACGTTCTTTCATTCATTCATCCCTTTATTCTTACTATACATTCATTTCAGGGGTTGTCCACTAATTAGAACAAGGCTTGTGATCAGATGCAATGACAAAAAGAGACAGGCAATACAAAAACAAAAATGTCCAGTAGACCAGTAGGCATTCACACTGAAAAAAAATCGCGCACTTTAAGATTTAGACGGTTACACACCTTTTGCCTACAACTATCGCATGCAACATGCGTAAGTCATCCTTACAACATGGCTACAACTGTCAAACAATTGTTTGATAACCCTACGACAGTTGTAGCCATGTTGTAAGTACGACATACGCATGTTGCATGCGATGGTTGCAGGCAGAAGTTGCACCGTATAAATCGCCCTAAAGGAGTTGCCCTAAAGGTTGTAAATTTGATGTAAATATGATGTCAGTGTCCAAAATTTTTGTAAATTTGATGTAAATTTACATCATTTTGGACACTGACATCATATTTACATCAAATTTACAACCTTTAAAGTGCGCGATTTTTTCCAATGATTGTTTAACATAATGCTATAATTCTCTGTTTTCGTCGTCTCGATCAATGACAAGCCTCGTTCTGACGCCAGTGGTAGACTTCATTTCAGTATTCGTTCAATATTCATATTTCATTCTGTTAGATATGGTGATCTGGTTCGTGCTTTACAAGAGAATGGTTTTCCTGTGTCACCTGAACAATTCATTCAACAAAAAGACTAACTGACTGGGCTGCCTGTGTACTTTAGAAGAAACACGTAACACCCTGGAAACAAGGAGTTTTATTTTGATAATAGTTGAGTTTTTCGRCATTGTAAATACTAGATATCCCCATTGCATTTTGGGATTGATTGGGAGGACCCTTTTTTATTCGAATTGTGGTAGATATTTTGAAACTCTTACTTTGATGTAAGTAAAACTACTTCAATGCTTAAAACGATTAATAGTCTAATTGTTAAGTGGAAAACAACAAAAATTATATCTTTCTGTATTCGTCTACACAATCAATCTTCGAGTTGTGTTGCCATTGGCGGCTTGTTATTATTTGTTTCTTTCGCCTTCCGAAAGTCTTTCCTTTTCATGTAGTATATGTATATATATTTTAATTCCACTAGAGACTACTAACCTGTATTGGACATCTTTATTACATCTTTTAGTATTATTATTCATTTATCATTATTATTATCATTGTAAATATTTATCTCCTATTATATTATAACTTTTAAAGGTTGTAAATCTGATGTAGATGATTTGCATCAAAGTTACATCATTTTGGACAATTACATYAAATTTACAACCTTTAAAAGTGCGCGATTTTTTCCAGTGAATAATCGTTATTGATTGTTATTACTTACCACAATACGGAGACACCGCATTGACGTTAAGATAAAAGTTCCCCTTTTTTAAGTCGTCGTACTTAATAGCGTKATATCCCATCTCTGGACATGTCTTCCCGTCATTTCCACACCTCTTTGAGTTAGACTCGAACTCTTTCCACGATTGTGAGCGATATGAACGAAATAAACACTCGCTGGATTTGATAGACTCGGTGAAGTATTGGTGAGCYCGGTTGTGTGAACACATACTATCTATGAAAAACAAACTGTGCCTTGAAACATGTTTGAATAAAACAAGGAAAGAGACTGCGGGATACCTGTGGTTTTTTAACACTGGCTTACCTAAGACTTTACTATGATGATTGCTAAACGAGCGACATTTTTTAAGACACTAATACTCCAGTTTARTTATTCGAATTCTCTTTTGAGCAAGATTAGCTTCAATTAAGCATAATTTATCATTGTCTTCTTTTTAGATTTTTGGCTAATCAAAAAAATAATATATTACATGCTTTCGAGGTTAAGGCTGAACAAATGAGACATATCGAACTAGAGTATTTTTTGATATGGAAAAGACTTGTTCTTTTTAAAAATCGAACTTTAATATGCATAATAATCGTTATTTTAGAGGTCTTTAATTTTCTTTTTGATACTTTAAGAATTATTAAAATTATTAGGTGTCTGTCATTAGATATGTGTGTGCTCCTGGTGTAGCTGATGAATATTACATTAATGGTAGGCAGAGGTAGGCACACCTACGAACCTTTACCGCATCCAGGTTGTGATCGTCCGCCATTTGGCCAAWAGTCAAACTTTCCACTTTTATCAGGGGTGCCTCGGTGCGCAGAATCCGTATGGATGACGTCAACGAACTGGGCGTCAGTTGCATCAAGTCTGACGTCAGTATGCTGATTTTTGAAGCCCGCTGAAGCCGGGTCTAGTCCTAGGATAACAGCGTCAGATGATCGAATGATATTTCATGCATCTTAGTCATTCCGTGCTATACACTAGCAAATCAGGCATGTCAGATGGTACTGACAATGTATGTGAGTGCATACACCAGCTTATCACCCCTATGACCCCGATTCAAATCCCGGCGGTCCAGTTGCTCCGCATATTATCWTTTTCCAATACCAAATAGCGRCTGCATTCAGCGGTAATCCACACTAAACACCCACTGAGAGTGGGTTTCACGTTGGGAGAATCTAAGTGGCACTCAGTTGATGTAATATATTCATAAAGATATAATACAAAACGCATAATACAATAGAACGAGAAACAATGGAATACAATACATTTTATGAATACATTACATCARCTGCGTGCTACGTAGGTCACCCCGTTTCACGTTACCGGCCGATGCTCTGGACGCCATTTTGAATATGCGAGCAGAGCAGCCCTGGGAACGAGGTTAATAGATTTGCGTTTCTGTGGACAATGCCTTGCTGGAGTTTTGAAAAATAAAGCATTTGCTACCTACATTGTAGGTTAGGTGGTGGAGGACTCGCAGTATGTTCCTCGTGATAAGGTTCCATTTCTCCGAACTCCATTTCGTTCTCTGATTCATTGCTAGAGTTGTTTGTTAAACTTTCTGATGACGTATCAGAAGAATCAGACATTTTGTTAAGAGTTTTAGAAGCTTGTTGCACGTGATCAGACTGTAGTCAACAGGTCAAAACAAATTGGTCGTCACAACAGATACGATCGAACACACAACATGACGTCACGCATTCCAAAACTCGGTCCCAGTTCCTCGGACAAAATAGTAATGCGAAATGGCGTTTTGAATGCGAAAATTTAATGATTTCGGTTGGCTTAATGAAAATTCTGATTAGATATTTCGATTCAGCGGCTCAAATACTGCTAGAATCGATCAAAAAAAATTTCATGTCATAGGCACTTTAA